CCCCCCCCCCCCCCCCCCCCCCCCCTTTTCGGTGTCTGCTCATTACTTAGTGCCAGCAACCGGGAAAGAAATGACGGCTCGCTGCTTGTATCAACGCCGACCATCGGGCGCTTCTCTAATCAAATTCTGCCAGCAATGAAGGAAGCAAGAGAATAACCAATGTGTGTGTGTGTGTGTGTGTGTGTGTGTGTGTGTGTGTGTGTGTGTGTGTGTGTGTGTGTGTGTGTGTGCGCGCGCCCCGCTCCTCGTGCTTATTAACGGCCATGTGAAACCCCGGTTTCAGCACCTTCGGTGTCAGCGATGGAACAATAAATAACTAATACAAGAAAGAGTAGTGCTTGAGAAAAAATAAAAACCTCCATGTCTTCCCCCCCCCCCCCCCTGCCCGCATCGCAAGGCCGCTTCCATCCGCTTCATAGCCAAACATCATCCACCTAAATTAAAGATTATACAACGATGAAGAACAAACAAGAGCTGTCAGTTCTTCAAGCAAACTGTCCAATCCACAGCTGTATATAGAGTCCGACCCATTTAAAGGAGAGGAGGTCCGGGAAGAATCGCTGTTGGTCAGTGAGTTTGTTTTTTCACCCATCACATTCCACGACTGCCAACTCAAGTGATTCCAACGTTCAAAACGCTGCCTCCTTCTAACATCAGACGTAGCGTCCATAAGACTTCAGTGTTAATGTTGCGGCGTCTGCTGCCGATCAAGGATCGGTCAGTTGTATCGATCAGTGTGATGGGGCTGAAGCTCACGTGGTTGCGCCTGAAGGTTAAAACAAATTGGAAATAGCAGGTTTGTGTGTGTGTTTATAGTTATTGGGAAGGCCATTCTGGGTTATAGACATAAGAAATACTTCATGTTGGATACATGGCGTGCGTGTGCGTCTGAATGTGCGCGCCCGAGTGATTTTCCCGCTGTCTAGTCCTTGGGTTGGTCCTTGCTCTGTTTCTTCATCTTCATCCTCCGGTTCTGGAACCAGATCTTCACCTGCCGCTCTGTCAGGTTGAGCGCGCGTGCCACCTCATGCCGCCGGTCCCGCGTGAGGTACATGTTGAACAGGAACTCCTTCTCCAGCTCGAGCGTCTGGTATTTGGTGTACGGGCACCGCTTCTTCCTGGAGGAGCGCGCGTGCAGCCAGTTGGCCGACGGGTCGGCTGGAGGAAGACAAGAGGAAGAAAGGAAAATCGGTTAGTGGGACCGTCTCCAGACCTGTCTTGGGAGGGGTTCAGAACATTAAAGCAGCAAAGGTAAACAATCGTTAAACGATTAAACCAACATCTCTCCGTGCGTAAAAGTTACAGAACCCTGTGCGTAAAAGCTCCGCTCGAAAAAACCTGCTGCTGCAATTGTTTCTCTGGTTCGTAAACTCGGTTTATGGAGTCAACAGGGGCGCACATTTGACACAAGTGGACACACGGCTGTTTTATTTGACACCACGCGGAAGACAGACGGCCCGCTGAATCCAATGTTCAGCTTGCATGCGCGAGGGGGAAAGCCGGATGCACAAATATGAACAAAACTCATATATACCATAATATATTTTTATAAAGTAAAGGGAAAAAGTATCAAAACAACAACACTTTATTGATTTATTATTGATTGATTCATTTTCATTTTATATTTTTATTTGTATTTGTAATGCTTGATTACAGCTTTAGACCCGGATGACACCTTTCAAAACGTCCCCAGCTTCATTCACAGTTTAAGCTAAAACGCATTAAAAATGTATTGGCTGATTATAAATCAGCCAATGAGTTAGCTGCTTTGTTCACTGTCGCAGTTAATTACATATATGATTTGATATGATGGAGATTTCTGACTTGTTTCTGATGGCTGCTGTTTGAAGGTGACCTTCAGCGGATGAATATCAGACACTCTAATCACGATAACCCACGATAACAGGATGCAACATTGTGCGCGTGTTCGGCTGTTTAACATTTTGTAACAAAAAAACGGGAGGCGAAATTCCCCCCGCGTGATGACAGCAAACAAACAAAAAGACATCACGAAATATGTTTTAAAGGATTAATACTGAACTGTTCTTTTTATTTAGTTTTTTTGCGTGAGAATGATGTTCATATTGTAGCTCAGCACACAGTCACTGCGTCACTTCTGATTGCTCCTAAATTAATAAACGGCGGGAGATTTATGGCCCCTGATGGGATTTGAGGGAAATATTTCCTGTGTGCATCCTTTGCCTTTCATTAAGCTTGCAAACATTCGGTTTGACTGTCACACAATAGACCGTACTGAACCTGTTTGGACACGAACAACCTTTTTTTTCTCATAACGAACTCCATAAATTAACTATTAAAAAGCAGATTGTTTTATTCTCTGCGACGTTGTCAACACCGGCGGAATTAAAGGTGATACAAATAAAGGATTGATGACTGTTTGCTGCATCAGAACTACGCACTGAGATTGTTGAATCGTGTGTTTGCGATGTGAATAACAATGTTGCAATGCATAAACGCAGAGGCTCCTAAATTGGAATTTCGACAGAAAGCTATGAATTATTGCTTTGATTTTTTTTCTCCATCTCTGTCTCTCTCCCTTTCATGTTTGCCAGGCCACCCTGACTCCTCCACCACCACCCCCCCTTCCCGACCACCCCACCCTTCTTTATGGCTTTCAGACCGATGTAATTAGCGGAGAACTCTTCTTGTTAGGGACGCATGGGTCTGGTTTAGGGCTGAACGCTATCTGCTCTTTCCTTCTGCAAAGCATCCAGGCATCTCAGCTATGAAGCAGCTTGGAGACAGTCTCATGGCAACTCCACCATGACAAAAGAAAAGCTCTGTCGGCGGACCCCCTCCCTCCCTTTATAACTCTGTTTTTATCTGCAAAGAGTATGTTTTCATATTTTGAAGCAACTATCAACACACATCCAGGAAGATTGTGAGGGCTGGTTCTGATTCATTTCCACTTTTACATCTTCTAAATAAAACTCTTAACCATGAGCAATCATTCCCTGTGGTTAGGCCAAGGCTCTTCTCCTCCACTCAAGCAGCAGCCAAGCCATAGTTTTCCACTTGCTTGAGTCTGAAAAAAGCAAAAGAGAAGCTCAATGCGGACAGGTAAAGCTTAAAGTTTATGCCTTCTTATAACATACAGTTATGTCTTAAGTTTTCATCTGAGTAGCTAAGAATATAATGTAATGTGTTACAAAAGCAAGGCCACACTGAGTTTCTTCATTGCATTTTATAATTGTATCGTCTCAGTTCGGCTGTTCAATTCCAAGTCTAGTGCGCAACCCAAATTGTGTCTCGGAGAGGGGATTCCGCTCTGGATATGTTGGTGAAAAAGCTTGGTTTAGGCTTGTTTCCCTTACACGAAAGCCTTCCAGGGGTGGTGTAAGTCACTGAATGAAACACAGCACACATGCCGTCTGGCCATCAGGCTGAATTTGGGAATATAAGCTTCCATCTAAATCAATGAGGGCAACATCAGGGCCTTAAAAGCTTCTCATTGTTACTGTCAAACTGGGGGAAAAAACAAGAGATTTATCCTTTCAGCCAGGAGCACACCAGGTCTGCAGGGCAAGGGGTTAGAAAGGGGATTTGCTCTCCCAAAATGCAGCCTCAGTTCCCTGGCCTGAGATGGCACTCACACAAGTCATGAGGAAAAGCCGGAGCTTCAAAGCCTTTTGACGCCAAGCGAGGAGATTAAAAATCATGTGTCTCCCTCCCTGAGGAGCCGCTCGTTTTCCTAACTTATGTTGGGTGGAGGCTTCGCCTGTCAATTCCACTGGTGATATTTTTTATCCCGTGACAGAACTTTGCTACGACGCCAATGCAATTCACTAAACTGCATATGACATTGGTAACAATGATTCTTTTAACTCCCAGATGTGAACACAGAGCTGTTTTGTGTGGCACCAAGAGCAATGTTGGCTTCATGTCTGATACGATACCTCCCCCATTTAAATGGGTGACATATGCCAACATATACACCCGAAAAAGAAAAAGGGAATGAAAAGTTAAGAATATTGAAAAATAAAAATGCCAAGGTAAAATTATGGGACACTAATGTAAAAATGTAGACTTTAAGAAATTGACAATATAAGTCTAAATTAAATGAAACAAAGTCATAATGTCGAGAAAACAAGTGAAAAGTATTAATCCTAAACAAAAAATATTTTTTCCATAAAACGTAAAAGTTTGAACTTATTTGTAATAATTTGGAAAAACTCATTCATGTGTTGACCAAGTCATAGTTTTGACTTGGTCAACACAGTGTCATGGCAGTTCGTGAAAAAGCAACAAAATGCTATTTACTGGTAGTGTAAAGTGTAAGGAAGTGTAGTAAGTGTAAGGATGCTTGTCCTGCTGGGGCATCATGATTTCCTCATGCCAAAGACACACAAAAGATGTGACACTTGGAATTAATACAACAAGGCAAAGTTGGGCTTGGAAATCTAAGTCTTTACACTTAATATATAATACATTCTTAAGATGTCAAACTTGACCAGTTCTTCTACAAAGCATAATTTCTTAACAGTTCATGTCTGTCTATCATCTCTCTTCCAGGTTGGATTGAGCTTGTGAACATATTGAAACAACCAAAACAGCTTGTTAATAGTGGAAATCCCAGATCTGATTCATCACCAAAATCTAATCAACTGATGAATGAGCTATCTGTCTACCAATCGTAGAAATAAAGCAGGCTGTGTATAACAGATGTGATCAACTACATAATCCACATAATCTTGAGCCAGGACACGTGGCTTAATATAAAGAATCCATAGGGAAGAAGTCAGTGTGGTCGACTTATTTGTCCAGTATTCATAGGTATACTTATGAAAAATAATGTACCCTAATTCGTAGATATCCCACCAAATTACTTGGTATGTTATCCACGTACTCGTGAAAGAGGAAGTATAAAGACTCCGCGGGTGGATGGGTCCAACAAACAGCAATCGTACAGCCAGGAGACTGCTGTTTGTTCCCTTTATGAAAAGAGAAGTAAACGATGTATTTGCATCACGTAACGTGCATACTTCAGTAACGACACGTCCGTGGTTATTTGAACTCAAAAGACGATATTTTCCAGAAACCTAACCAAGTAGTTTTTGCCTAAACCTAACTAAGTAGTTTTCTGTGAAGACAGAAGTTTATTTTCAAAAGACCGCATGCATGTAATGAGTAAAAATTGCCACTTGTATCTGACTTTCTTAGAAAAACGCACGAAAAATGAGGCGTAACTTAATAAGATGTCATACGAACAGCTGTATGAGGATACGTTGACTTATTGCAAACCAAATGTTAACCCAAACGTTGACTTATTTATTACATAACTTCCATACATACGTAACGCCACCGCCCTACTCATTTAAACCCAAACAACGAGCTTTTCCTAAACCTAACTAAGTACTTTTGTTGCATAAACACTGTGGGGCTTGTGCATACATACTGGTCGCTGGTGTTGACATTCTCAGGAAACATGTTGAATAAAGACATTTAGTTGACATTTCGTAATTCTTAGCTAACACTACGATATTTTAGTAACGCATCGACCTACAGGGACTTGAATTTTCATCAATTATTTTCTGCAGGACATTGGGTTCGAAACAAGACTGCAAAGCCAAGATGGCTGCCAGTGATGTACACGCCATCACCCAGCCTCTGTCCCTATGTGGATCTGACAGGATATATATTCCCACCAGCCAAGTTAGTTAGCGGCCATCATCAGTAAATATGTCCTTAATACCCTCTGGAATCAATTCCCTCCAACACGGCCAGCATGTAGAGGATCGATTTCATCTCAGGGCAAAATAATGCCTGGTAAAAGAGGTGAGAGGAGGGTGGATGGGTCGGGGGCTGCGGTGCTTTTGTCACACTGTAAAGTGGGTGCTTTGCATTCCCCGGGTGTATAATCACCTCCAGGACCATCCATTACCCTCGGAGCTGCGCCGCGACCGTGGCTGTCAACCAGGATGACAAACTGGTTGTGGGGTGTGGGGTGGAGGAAGGGTGGTGAGTTGGGGTGTCGGTGGACGGTATAGTCTTTTTTCTCCAAGCCGTGGGACAGTAAGGACGATGACGGATATAAAGAGGGAATATGGCTAAGGGGGTGGGGGTAAGTGTGGATAGTCCTAACTTGAAAGTTCCTCTTATAGGCTACATCCAGAAGCAATGTGTTGGCTTGGATATCA